CCACAGTCTCTGAAGCATATTTGTGAAGTTGTATTTAAAGATTAGCTTATTAATGTTGTGTTTCAGGGACCTGTAGGTAATTACTTTTACAGCTATAGATGGGCACTGCTGTCTTATGAATGCAAAATAGGGTTGTTTTTTTCACCGTGCCTGAGTCAGCTCTTTGTGAATTTTCATGATATAAATGATGGTGACTTGGAAATATGTCTGTGATGGCCATGCTTTGCCTCCACTGTTTTTTTTTTATAAAGGCACAGGTCTTTTTCCCTAGTGCTCCCTATAAGACTTCTGCAGGCCAGCTGATAAGACTCCCTCCTGCACAGGTAGATGCAATGTAATGAAATTGGATGTGCGTATTGGGCTTTGTAAATAAAATGAGATTGACCCCCCCCCCCCCCCCCCCCAGCCATTATCTCATTTATCTGATTTACATTGTAAAATCAGGATCTACACTATTGATTAGAGCATAATTAGTTAATTATGATCAGGAAAATACAGAGTTATGTGAGGCCAGAACACAGCAGGCTGTACTGCTGAAAAAAATTCAAGGACATGAGCAGATGGAGATCACTTTATTAAAGAACAAAGCAGACATGTTTCAGGTATGGAAATAGCTAATCAACCTTTCTTGCTGTGAAGACATGCTTGACCTCCATTTTATGCTTACATCTGAACAATGTTTTCTTTCATCTGTTGTTAGCATTTTACTTGTTTAACTTATTAACCTAACTACTACAAATCTTGCCTGCCTTCCTCAGTTTATCCACCTTTTTCATATAAAAGCAAGAAATTGGGTTCCTACCTTCCTTTTTGGAACTGGGGACAGAGTACTTCCTAATCCGGTATATGATGTGACTTGAAATGTAAGAGTGGTTGCATCAACAGCATTCAACAGCAGATAGGAAAAGCCCTGTTCTCCCCACCACCACCTGGGGTGACAAGGAACAATGGTCATAAGCTGATGGAGAATAGGTTTAGGTTAGCGATCAGAAGGCAATATTTTTCAGTTAGGGCGGTCAAAATCTGGAACCAACTTCCCAGGGAAGTGGTCCTCGCCCCTACCTTGGGCAAATTCAAGAGGAGGTTGGATGATCACCTGTCTGGGGTCTTGTGAACCCAGCATTCATTCCTGCCTATGGCGGGGGGTCAGGCTAGATGATCTGTTCAGGTCCCTCCTGACCCTAGCTAGTATGAAACTCTCTCTTTGGTTTTAGGCTAGTCTCATTCTCCAATTTGTTCTCATCAAAGTTCAAAGGCATAAAGATGACAGTCTACTTAACTGCCCCAAAGGTAATCTATCTGGACATCTAAATGGCAAATAAATCTCCCACAAATAATGTCAGGTTCAAAATTATACTCATAAGCTATGAGTGCAGAAACAAAGCCTGGGTTTGAAAAACTGGCCCTTTATGTGTACCATAAAGGTTTGAGCCAAATTAGTAAGATTAAAAATAGATAGAATGGAGTAGTTTCTTCTGATTTACTCTTTCCTATGACACAATTGCTAATTTTTACTATCCAAAGTACTTTGTGGGAGAGAGGGGTGAATTTGGTAGCTCTAGGAATTGATGATGCAGCATGGCTGCTTTTATCTATCACTATTTCAAATACAGCTGGACCTCTTTAATATCCTATGAAAATTGCCAGCAAGGGATTGCAGAGAAAATAGTGGATTATAGAGCCACACATGGTCTTAACTATTAAAAATACACATTGTTAAACTTGTAGCATACTTGTAGAACAGCATCACAATTTGTGTTAGTCAGCATTTTTACCAACTTGACAGAAGACAAGAACTGACCTGTTCATTTGCCTCTAGAAAACCTCTTTGTAGATTGCAACTGAAGTGCATGATTCGGGGTGGGGAAGCCTGCCCTGTCAGTGTGCAGACTTTGTCTAATCTACAAATATAAATACTGTACAATGCTAGGACTTTCAATTTGGTACCTTTCACTGTCACCAGGTTAATTAAATTTTAATGATTTGAAGTAATTGTATGGCTTTGATTGTCCTGTTTTCTGGATCTCTCAGTACATCCTTACCACCTCTTGGCTGGGACTACAGAGCAGGAGAAGTGGTTCATCTTGCAGATCTTAATATGGACCTTGCTAGTTGCCATTGTAACCTAGCTGTCTGGCATAAGGCCACTGAAAATATTTCCTCTGAAGCTGCTGCAAGTGCTAGACCATAATTCATGAGAGGTGCAATCATTTTGTTTTCAGAGCTGAAATATATGTGAGCTACCCTTTTCTCCAAGAATTGTTCAGTCTTCTATATGTACTGCACAACAGTAATGCCAGAGAGTTGGTTCAGCATTAAATGATGGGTCCTGAATTTTGTTGTTAGACATTGTGCACCAGAAATGTGTTCTGTGTCATAGCAACTCACCATATTAACAGACACAGTTGTACAAGCCTACTATGGTAGAAGGCAATGGCCAAATCCCTCTGATTTTATAGGAATAATATATAAAATAGCTATTTTAATTGATTTTTAGATTACATAGTGCATTTGTCATGTTGCTGTACTTCCCCCTCTTCCCTTCTCCACCCCTGGATCACTCTAAATTCCTGTGTTAAAATCCCAGATGTAGGTTCTACTGTACAGAAATAATTTTATAAAAACAATAGAAAAGCAGTCTTTCATGATGGTATAGATCTGGGTTGTATAAAGACACAGCACTGGATACTTCTGACACATTTTATTTGTGTTTATGTGAATGTGGACTAATGATGCATGTACGTTCACCCGTTATATATATTTTGTTTTTTAAATAAAAGACAAAAAGCCTTAGTCTTTGGAAACTTCCATATACAAGTTTTTAATTTGGTCTATGAATGAGATCTTTGTGCTCAGACAAAACAAAATATATTTTTTAAAGTTAATTGAATACACAAACGAAACTTGACTTTAAGGTCCTACATCATGCATCTATACTCATATTGTGTTGGTCATTCAATTCCAGTTTACATATACTTCTCAAATAGATGTCTGAAATGTGGCTTCAGGTGAAATCAGAAAGTTGGGTATTCTAGAAACAAAGAAAGGAGATTTTAAAGTGTGGTTTTGAAAAGTAAAGATTTTATTTTCTTTAAGAGAATAATTTTGTTAATTATCTTTTTTTTCCAAGTGTTAAACTGGAGGTAAGTGCTTTGCTAACAGATTCCACTGTAGATTTTAGTGTAAAACTGAGTATAACTAGTATATATTAAAGTTGAATTGAAATGTAATGTTTGAGGATCTCTGAGCATTTAAAAAAAGAATGTGCTTTTGGAACATCTGAGCGTATGCTTTGCAGAATAAGTTTCAAGACATTGAATTCATGTTGGTTAGTAGTACTACAGCCCTTTTCAGATGCAGAATCCAAGGGAAAAGGCAGATAAATCACTTGCCTAAGGATGCAAAAGTTATTGATAGGAAAAGGGTGCAGGAATCCAGGCTCACATCTCCTGCCCTGTCTCTTTTTTGTAGTCCTTGCCTATGTAAGAACTTTTAATTCTTTGTATTTCTAGTTCTTCCTAGAATATTCACTTAGGAAATGAGAATAACATATAAAGACATCACTGACAAGTGTCTTGGAGGGTCAGAGATTTCATTCTTAACACATGGCTATTAAAAAGTGGAGTCAACTCCAGTATGTGCACCCTTAACAGAAACGGTAGAGAAATCTTTGTTTAGGTTACTAAGTACTGCCGCAGACTGGTTATTTGTTCATGTGAAGATTATAGTTTAAAGACAAAGAATGTGAATGTTTTTCTTCTTAATAATGATTGTAAATTCTTTTTGTGTAATCCTTTGTCCATTATGTGCTCTGTGTTCTGTTAATAATGCATTAAATATTTTTAACCTTGGTGTGATAAAGAATGCACTGTACCTTTATTTTAATGTGTGTATAAGGCGGCATTCTGCAAGTTGAAGTCTGCTACAATTTTAGACATTTTTAAAAATATTTACTTTGTAAGTTTTATTTTTGGATTGCTTGCCTTTTGAGTTCTTAATTCAAATATTTGAGACAACTAAATCAAATAGAGAGAATCTGACAAAATTAATTTTAAAAAGCATTCCCTTTTGTATAAGAAGACATAGGGCAAATGCAACTAAAGTGAAGACAACTGCTTCAATAAGATAAATGAATGTTCACAATCTGCTGTTAAATTCTTTTTTCCTGTTGAGCATATTGCCTACTGTAATTCTCTTTTCATGAAACACTGTAGTATATCTACTCAAATACTGTTTCAGTAGATGGAGAATGTCTGAGTAAAAAATAGCTGTGATAGATATTTCTGTCTGTTGTCCGAGCTACATGTAGTAAAAAATACTATCAAAAGGCTTGTTAGTAAGCCCAGAATTGTGGTTTTGTCAGTTATAATAAGGAAAAGATGACAACAACATATTTTTAAATAAACCTTTTCTAAGTAGAAAATCTAATCCTTAATGAATATTTGTGCAAACTTTTTTATTTCTGCTAATTCATAAAATTGTGAACTGTGTATTATTTGGCTTACTAAATGTATGAGGGGACATTATGAAGGTTTGGCCAAGAGATGTGTAATGTAAAGTGCTGTAACTTGGAAAGCAAACTCTGTAAATTGTTGTTGCTTATGCCATGGATTCTATAAAACAACAATGTAGCTGAAAGAAAAATCCTGAAAAATTTGCATATTGTCCTGCAATATTTTTCGTTGATCATATGTTGTAGCATTTGTTTGCAAAACTATTAAAAGACATATTTTCAACATCAAATGGGAGTTTGATAAATATGCAGAATATGTGCAGCTGTCTCCATGTTTTCTGCATCAGAATATTCCAAATTAAATAGAAAAATGTTTGAAATGTGTGACTTGTAAATGTAAATGGCCCTTCCTGAAAATGTTTTAAACCAAACCAATGACCTTGAGATTTCAGGGTTCCATGTGTGAACAGCAGTTTACCCTAAGGTGCTTGTAGAGAGGCTTGATCGAATTGGTGTAGAAATGCAATATATGTTTTTCCACTTGCAGGTGTGATGAATGCAGGCTCTGCTACCATTTTGGTTGTCTGGACCCTCCTTTGAAAAAGTCTCCCAAACAGACTGGCTATGGATGGATTTGTCAAGAGTGTGATTCTACATCCTCCAAAGTAAGTTAATTCAGCCTGTGAAAACTCAGAGGAGGTACTCTGTTTTTGAGCAGCCTTTTCACATACACACACACCATCACACATCTCTTCATCTTGCACTTGTGTTTGAATGCTATACATAAACCTGTGCTAAAAATCTTTGAATATATGACAGTAAAGATCTCACTGTAAGGTTTTTATATTTGTGTTAAGTGAAAGAAAGAAAAATACAAAATGGATTTGTATTAATTGACTAATGGTGGTTTATTTCTCACCATATTTTTATAATGAGATCAGAATTATGGTGGTTGCCTTCAAAATAAAATTAGTAAAATGCCATTTCATATACTGCTCATTAAAAATATGGGAAAATGTTGTAAGTTTTTAATAATGCAGAAACCTTTAAAGATATGAATAGTAGATATTAAATATTTGATATAAACATATTTATGAGAGTGTTGTGGAAAGAAACCTCTGGTTTCCCTTCAACATACATCATTTGCAAGGGACATTATTAAGTTACGATACTGTATATTTATAGGACAAAATCATAACTTTTTTACTTAATTCTTATTATTCAAACTTTCTTGTAATAATGCTTACAGTATTTGTCCACTTCTGCCACATTAGGCCACAAAGGATAGATGTTTTGTTTTTACATTTTCCTTCATTTTCCCTGCTTTACTGTTGCCATGGCTGCCAGTAACCTCTGCATCCTTTAAAAAGATGCTACCAAATTGATTTCTCTAATTGGTTAATTAAAAGAAATAAGTTTCTGATAGAGTACAATTAAAATAATAGAGCTTTTAAAACTTATCTAAAATTTATAGGATTGTCTTTTATCCTGATGAGGCAGGATGTTTTCAGAAAGGGAAAAATTCAAAAGCTGATTATACAGGGAAATGACTGCGAAAAAGTGTTGTCATAGAGACAAAGTTAAACAAAAAAATTGAGCATAATTTTCAAGTTAACTTCTTTAGATTCTAATATTCTTTGTGAATGTTTTTTTGTAAGCATAGTTGATATAAATTTTTGAGGCTTTGAGAAATGTTTTTTTTTTTTCTTTGGATTACTGGTGTTCCTTTACAGCAAGTAAAATAAGGCATTCTGCTTCACCAGGGGGTTAATCAAATCATTCTTTCGTAAGATACAAAGATAGACATTGGAAATTAGCTGTCTACTATGGTTTGGACATCAAGCAATCTTTCTTGAATACCACTTAAATACAATGGTCACTCCTAGAGTGAATTAAAATTGATATCGAATTCCTGTCACCCTCTTAGACCAAAGGGTTTCTTTATAACATTAGTTAAAATGTTCTGTGTCCTATTTTTTTCAGCCTATTTCTACAAAGGAACTGTTATTGCAAAATGTTTATTTGGAGTAGTTTGCCCAACTATGTATTCAGATAAAATGTTGTGTTTTTCAAATAATTAACTGGGAATTGATTCAACTTTTATTGCATTTCCTGTAGTGGATCTATTCATTTTAAGATTTCCTTTGTAAAATGCCTGGGTTTTGGTGAGGGGCATGGAAATACATGTAACAGGTACAATGGCTATGTCTTGTCTCTGTTAGGAAAGGGGTCATATTTGAAAACAATGCCTATTGACAGAATAATTTTCATTTTTAATCCATAAGGGCCCATATTTAAAATGAAAGTTTAACAGCAAAAATCTTTGGTTTATTGTACTATTTTAAACAAAGTTTTAATTTTTATTTGAATAACAAAGTAATGAATATCATGGGTACTGAAAAGTTGTCTTATGGGGACTCCTTGTGGTTTTGTTTAGTTATTTTTTTTTTCTGGCAGAGCAATGCTGGGTAACTACTATTTGAAAACCATGTTGCTATCCATATTTAGAAAAGTCTTTATTAAATACACCACTTTTTTCTTTACTGAATACATCATTGCATTGTAAAAATGTAGCAGCATCATGTTAATTGAATGAAACTTTTCTTATGGACTTTCTGTTATGTAAAGAAAATTTTTTTAAAGTATAGTTTTTTTTTATTATTTTTATTTCTCAGTGTCAATCTAGTGTGTGGCTCGATAGTATATATTGTATATCCAGTGCCCTGCATGTATTCTCATTGGCAAGAAGATTTCAGAAAGTCTTTTTGGTCTCCTCCCTCCCCTGAACTAGAGGGGTGGTTCCTTGAATTTGAATATAAATCCATTAAAAAGGAACCATGTGAGGAAACTTGCATTGTTTGCTGCACTCTATCTGACCTATGGATGAATAGCAGACTTGGGCTAGCAGTATTTTCCATCTCTCACTCAGCCACTAAATCCAATTTTTGGTATGTCACAGCAAAGTTTCCTGTAAGGATTATGGCAGTGAAATAGGATTGTATTTTCAGCTTGTGCCAAGAAGACTACTATGTAGCATCCTTCCCTTCAGTGGAGAAATCAAACTTTATAAAATAATATTTCTAATTGAAAATTAATAAAGAAAACTTATTTTATTCCTTTTGCTGTTCATCTTTTTTTATCCAATTTAAATCATTACCATAGTATGAATGTTAATATGAACCAGCTTTCCGTATGTGTATTTTGCATAGCTATTTTAGCCCTAGAAAAAACTGACAATTTATGTTGGGATCCTTTATGGTATGCAAGCCAATAGGTATTGTCCTAATAAAAGTGATTACATTCTCTGCTTTTCTAATTATAGTTTTCAAACTTAGAAGCCCAGTAATGCTTACATAGTTTGCATACTTGTTTTCCTAACATGTAAAATGATTTTTCAGATCTTACTTAAATGATTGCAAGGAAGTGTAGTGGTAGTAAACATATGGTTTAAATTGTTATCTATCACAAGCACTGTGCAGGCTACTTCCATTTTGCTCATAATATGTCACAGGACTCTGCAGCAATCTTGTCAGTTATTTCCCCACCACTGTAACATATTCCCATATTACCCTGTCTGTCAAATAATAGACAGACAGTGACTTTGCTGCAGGGCATGAGGGCAACATCTTCGCTGTCGGTAATACTGCCTGTCACTTTTATGGAATGGGTGATGCTCGCTACTAAGGTCTGACAAGCTTTCTCATCTCAAAAACATTGTAGTTTTTGTTACATCACATGAAACCTGAAATAAACCTATAAGCTAGCCATTTTCAATAAGATTACCTACCTCCCTTGAATTTAGATTCCTCTGCACTTTCAATAATGACAAATATTTGTTCAAAATCATGTATTTTCCAATATTTTAGAATCATAATAGTATAATATATTTGCATTCAACAGCAATTTATGTCTGATTTATATATTAGTTTATTAAGGTACAAGGTCTCTTTGTAAAGAGAAGATGGGGGATAGTGAGATACACTTAATATATTCCCTTTCCTTTCTCCTTCTTATTTTTTTTCCTAAATAAAAAAAAAAGTACTTTTTAAGTGCCTCCTCCCAATTTAAGTTTTTGTGAAGATCCAGGGCAGCAAAAGGTTTAAACATACATCATGTTAGTTACGACGACTGTGCTACTTACTTTTCCATCCTTTCATCCTTGTTTAAGATCTATTTTGTGAAAAGCAGCAGTGTACATGACAGGTCATTATCTGACTTGCAAGATGAGCTGCCTTTGCCTAGAGACCTCTATTTAGTTCACTTTTATTTCATCTTTCTACAGTACTGCACTTTTTTAGTGGAAATAAATTGTGAATGCATATACATAGAACTCTCATCTAAATCCCTTATAGAATATTTTTTGAGCTACAAATCCACGATACACGAGCCATGGCAAATGGTAGTTTTTGCTCATCTTTTATGCTGGAAAGCAATCTTGGATGATTTTGCCTATGTTCCAATACTGAGTTGGGCATTTCCTCCAATGAGTAACTTGCTTCAACACAATGAACTAGCAAGTTTAAATGGACGTTATGATATTGGAAATAGACTGACTAATCTTTTATGCATTATGAATTAATATATTAAATTGAAAGTCATTTTATTGCAAATCCCTAATTTTATCATAAAAAACTCTTTTTAAGAATTCATATATTTATATGGGATTTTCTTATAATTAAAATGGAGAGAGAAATGAAAAAACTTAAAATATGTAAAATGCAGAAAAAGGGAAACTAACTTCATGTCAGCTATTTTTATAAATTATACAAAATTACTTGGGTAGGGTCTGTTACATAATACACAAACAAGACTGCAAGGCTTTCTATAGGTGTTGGTAGAACTGCACATAGTTTAAAGATGACACTTTCTTTCATAAGACTCATTTGCTTATAGCTCTACAAAGCTTTCAACATTTGGGTGTAATTTTTTCTACTGGCTGTCTAACTCAAGGTGAGCTTTTTTTGGAAAATTTCAGCCAGAATGTTTGTGCTTGCAAGAACATTTATTTTGCCCATATTAAAAAATATTTTGGCAAGCACTTTGAAAAGTTCTAGTGCTGCCATGCTTTGGAGCACATATTTGATATTTGGCTGATTTATCTTTTGTTGCTCCTGTGAAACCCCCTCATAATTTTACCAAGGTGTAAGCCTTTGAAAAATCAGAATTCACACCTGCTCAATCAAGACATCTGTGCAACTAAAATTGATTCGAGTTGAGTAGGACTTGTATTGTAATTGCAGAACTTTGTAGTTCTAGACGATTCTGCATCCATCCCTAAGAAACATGTAAGCCAGAGCCTGGAATCTGCAGGCGTGTTATGGGAACCAATGTGGCTTGAAAAAGGAGGCAGGAAGTCAAATCAAACATTGATCCAGGTGTTGAGAGTACTGGGACTGAAGGTGAAGTTACTTGTTACTCTTAGACCATATGAATGGCACTTTAAAATAAGAGTGTCCACACATTAAAGCTCATTAACCTGCACCCAGTACACTCTTAATATCTCAAATTATGCCACTTCGGGCAACGGTTTACTCTGGGCCATGGTACCTAGCTTCTGCTAAGGTAACTTTAGTCTGCTCCACAGAGATAAAATGAGCAGTTTGCAATCCTACAGCATCCCAGGAGGCCTGGTTTTCCCTCCTCTCTTTCCCCCAGGGCAAGGATA